AACAGTTGTGGCCTGTTGCTTTCAAAATTGTTCTGAAGGCCCAGGAAGGAAAGGCGTTGGGGTTTTGGGGCTTTGAGGACGGTTCATACAGTCAGCCCGGGGGTACCGCGTCCCACACGGGTTGCTATGACTCCTACCTTGGGCGTTGCTGGCACATCCTGGGGGCGCCCCCGGGGCACTCGCTCTTGACCTTCACGTAACTTTTCTCCCCAGCAGGAGGCAGGGGCTATAGACCCAACTCTCACCACAGAAACGCTAACGGTAAAGGGACGTGGCTTTCCCAGACGTGGGAGGAGGCAGCGCCCTTCCGCGGGGAGCTAGCTCCCCGGCGCCCTGCCTCTGTGGGCACCCACGCTGTGCGCAGTCTGCATGGCATGCAAACAGAATTCCTTGCAAGGGACTAACACCCAGGTGTGCGTGCACCTGGGTCTTTCCTGGGACCATTAAAATGAAATCCTCGTTGCAGGGTCTCAGTCCCCAGTCCGTTAGTCCCCAGGAGCGCGACAGCTTCCCTTGCATGTCCCCGGCCTCTCTGCACGCAGCCCCGCCAGCTGCACGGGGCCCGGCTCTCCCTGCAGCTTCGGCCTAGCGCCCGCGTCTGCACGGTGCTTCGGGGCAGAAAGCCCTCCATCTACTCGGTTGCCCGACTGGTAACAGCTTTGCTCCTCCTTTGCAGGTGGGGACGGATATTCCACTTACGGCCACCCTCAAGGTAACTCTGGCGGGGCCGCCCCGGGACGTTGGCAGCACGCGTTTGTGTATTTCCACCGGGACGCACAGGGCTGTTGCCGCCAGCAGCCACCAGACCCCATGCGCCACGGAGCGAACTGCAAAACGCCTGTCCTGCGCCCCCTGCAGGATGCGCTGAGCACGGCCGCTCTGGGCTCTGTTTTCACGGCTGACTCCAGGCCTTTCCTCCTGGTCTGAGTCAGGAAGTGCACTGAAACCTGTCCATCATGGATGACTGCGCCGGGGTGTGCGTGTGTGTGTGTGTGTGTGTGTGTTGTTGGGGCAGATTCACTGACAGCTAACAAAACAGAAACACACAGGCTGCCACCAAGTCAGCCCCAACTGAGAGGACCCTGTGAATGAAAAGCGGGGCCTTGCTTCTATGAAGAGTGACAGCCTGGGAGACCCTGTGGGGCAGTTCCACTCTGTCCTCTAGGGGCGCTGTGGGTCAGAATGGACTCCAGGCAGTGGGTGTGGTTTGGGCTTTGCTTCTGTGA